ATAAAGCTAGACTCGTTGCCAAAGGATTTACTCAAAAAGAAGGAATCGATTACACGGAGACCTTTTCTCCTGTATCTAAGAAAGATTCTCTTCGTATTGTTCTAGCTTTGGTTGCCCATTTTGATATGGAATTACATCAAATGGATGTGAAAACGGCGTTCCTCAATGGGGAACTAGAGGAAGAGGTTTACATGAAACAACATGAAGAATTCTCCTCTAGTAAAGGTGAGCATTTGGTGTACAAGCTTAAGAAATCTATATATGGCTTGAAACAAGCATCCCGCCAATGGTACTTAAGATTCCATGATGTCATCTCTTCATTCGGCTTTGTAGAGAATATCATGGATCAATGCATATACCAGAAAGTCAGTGGAAGCAAAATTTGTTTTCTTATGCTATATGTGGATGATATTCTACTTGCAACCAATGATAAGGGATTGTTGCATGAGGTGAAACAATTCCTCTCTAAGAGTTTTGACATGAAGGATATGGGTGAGGCATCTTATGTCATTGGCATTAAGATCCATAGAGATAGAACTCGAGGAGTTTTAGGACTATCTCAAGAAACCTATATCAATAAGGTCTTGGAGAGATTTCAGATGAAAGATTGTTCACCAAGTGTAGCACCCATTGTGAAGGGTGATAGGTTCAATTTGAACCAGTGCCCGAAGAACGATCTAGAAAGGGAACAAATAAAGAACATCACATATGCTTCTGCTGTTGGAAGCTTGATGTATGCTCAGGTTTGCACTCGACCTGACATCGCTTTTGCTGTGGGAATGTTGGGAAGATATCAGAGTAATCCAGGGATAGACCACTGGAAAGCTGCAAAGAAAGTGATGAGATACCTTCAAGGTACTAAAGGCTACATGCTTATGTATAGACAAACTGACGACTTGGAAGTATTTGGTTATTCGGATGCGGATTACGCTGGTTGCATTGATTCTCTAAAATCAACATCAGGATACATTTTTATGTTAGCTGGCGGAGACGTGTCATGGAGGAGTGCAAAGCAAACTTTGACTGCTACTTCCACTATGGAGGCTGAGTTCGTTTCTTGTTTTGAGGCTACCTCGCATGGTGTATGGTTGAAGAGTTTCATTTCAGGGCTTAGAATTGTTGATTCTATTTCTAGGCCATTAAGAATATATTGTGACAATTCAGCTGTGGTTTTTACAACTAAAAATGCTAGAAGTGGCAGTCGAAGTAAGCACATCGACATTAAGTATTTAGCCATAAAGGAACGTGTTAAGGAGAATAAAGTGGTCATTGAACACGTTCGCACTGAATTGATGATAGCTGATCGTTTAACTAAAGGCATGCCACCAATGAAGTATAAGGATCATGTTGCTAGTATGGGAATAATTCCCATAATGTGATTTATTGTCGTACGAACGACTTTTGTTGTTTGAAACTCTTACTCAATTGTAATGTTATTCTCAATTTCTGGTGTACACATTCAGTTGTTTATGAGAATAACAATTGTCCTTGGTTTTGGAATAAACATAGGGTTTATTCATTAAGATGTGTTGTCACGTATGGGTTAACATTAAAAGAATAAGATGCATTGTAATACATGGAAGATATTACTCGCTCTTAGAGGACATGTCGCCATGATTCATGTGTCTTGTTTCTTTTCTTAAGCATAAGGTTTTCGTGGATTTGGTTGGGTAATCTGTATGATGAAAATGTTGAGATCAAGTGGGAGAATGTTATATTTATAATGTGATCCCACATTTAGGTTTGACCCACGTTTTCTCTTTTAAATGACGGCTATCCACTGGCGGTTTTTCCACGCTTCGTACCCCTTCGGTGACAACCGCCCTCTTCGGTAACCGCCTTGATGAGAAGCGGTTTAAAAAGATGAACGTTCATTCCATAAGGGTAGACACAAGGTCTAACGCAAACCCTCTCATTCGATAATACACCATCAGTACGCGAGGGAATTGGGTTAGTAGAGTGCGCCCGTAATCGCTCTCAAATTAACGTCGAACTACCGTGGATTTCCGACGAACGTAAAGTTGAACAATGGCTGGAGGTCAGTTTATTTTCGATCCTGTTTTCCGCATTTGATTCTAATTGTGCATGAATTTTGTTCTTCTATGCATGATTAGAATCCTTCAGTTTTAGTCTTACAGCATGTAGATCGAGAGACAAATGGAGAGGAGTGATCGGGCGGAAAAGTAGCTCTAAGTGCAAAAAAGATGAATCATGCACCGAGTAGATAATCTAGTGCGCGAACCAGATGGAGTTGTTCCTAATTGTCTTGAATATATTTAAAAGTATTTCCATCAATGGACATAGATTCCGTATCATTTTGATCGGCCAAGTCGATCACATGCTCATTCACAAAATGATGAGGAACTGGCCAGCCTTTACTTTAGAGTTATAGTGCCTCGTGCTGCTCTATTTAATTATTTTTTGCATTTCTCGGAACCCGGTGTGGGCATGAATGTGTTTGGTGCACGTGAGCTTGTCCAAAAAGGAACGGACGTGAAGAAAACGACGGTCGCAAACGTCTTGCACACACTGCGCTAAGTTTTCCCCTACCAATCCTTCAAAGAAATTACTTCATGACCGAAACAATCTGTGGTGTTTTCTAATTCAACGGCATTGTAGAAATGCCTTGTGGTAAGTTTTCATCCACGCAGGCAAAGTAAATTGCAACGACAAATATATATATATATATATATATATATATATATATATATATATTGAAACTTGTGCAGTAGCGTGTTATATTGTTTTTTCTTCTTTTTGATTTAATGTGAATTTAACCATTTCTTAAAACATGATCATCTTGATACACAGAATGAGTATAAATTATATGAGCTTGGGGGTTAAGCTATCATTCTTCTTACATGCGAATCTATGCTGCTTATTACCTATTTATGGTAGTCTAGGAAATTTGTTCACAGCAGATTGATGTAAGGCATCTTTAAGGGAGTAAAGTGAACTAAGGATAGGTCATTTGTGCTAGAATGTTTAAATGTCAAATCATGTCTTTATTTAACGGTTTAAATTTTTAAAAAAATTGACGGTGATCGTACAAAATCTCACACTTTGCTTGTGAATATGTCATTCATGTATGATGTCATCTCTCGGTCTTTTCACTTTTTTTGCTCTCACTTCAATCACACCATTAGTTCTCTATCTTTATATTATAATAATTGACAAAATGAACTAGTTGGATAAGTATAAGCTGTTGAATGTTGACATATTACAATTTTCCCATCTGGATGACGCCATCCTTGAAGGTTCCATAGGATGGTCACTTGTCACAAGTCGAAATAAAATAAGAAGATGTAGGAGATGCCTGGCCGATGATTTTTTTTTTCCGTACTTGCCCATCTTCCTTTCGGCCAGATTCGCCCCACTTTCTTATTTGAAATTTGCATTTGGGAGAACAGAAAAAATCAAAGGAATAGGCCAAGATGTCTTCTTGGAAACTATTCTCCAAACCTAGTAAAATCACATTTTATCTGAATATCGATGAACCATCCGTATGCATATAATTATCTACTTTTTGGTACCCTAGAGAAACTCAAAAAAACTTCCTTCCCGACATCATCCCTTTAGTTAAGTTCTTTTGAAAAGCTAAAAAAATGTCCACTTCGAAAACTCAAAAAGGAATTTCCTCCCCATCATCATTCCTTTGGAAAGCTAAAAAAAGACCACTTCGAAAGCTCAAAAGTAAATTTTGCTCCCCAGAAACATTTCTTTAGCCTGGACCTTTGGAAAGTTTAAAGAAGTCCTCTCATAAAACTTAAGAAATTTCCTCCCCAACCTCCTCCCTTTAGTTTAGTTCTCTTGGAAAGCTCCAAGAAATTTTCTCTCCAACATCCTCTCTTCAGTCCAGTCATCTTGGAAAGCTAAAAAAACTTTCTCGATCAAAGTGTGAGATTTTGGAAAGCTCAAAGAAGTTCTATTGGAAAGACATCCTCATTTTAGTTTAGTCATATTGGAAAGCTTAAAGAAATTTTGTCCCTGACATCTTCTCTTTAGTTCAGTCCTCTTGAAAATTCTAAAGAAATTTCTTCCAACATGCTATAGTCTAGTATTCTTCAAAAGCTCAAAAAATTTTCTCCCCAACATGCTCCATTTTAGTCCAGTCCTTTTGCGAAGAACATCCTCCCTTGGATTCAGTCCTCTTGGAAAGCTCAAAGAAATTTCATTGGAAAGACATCCTCACTTTAGTTCAGTCATATTGGAAAGCTCAAAGAAATTTTGTCCCTGACAATCTTCTCATTAGGTCAGTCCTCTTGAAAATTCCAAAGAAATTTCTTTCAACATCCTCCTTTTACTTTTTTTGCTCTCGCTCCAATCACCTCCCTTTCGAACACTATTAAGAGTACAATATCAGTCCTCGAATATTATTGATTCCTTAGAAGTTCCCTATCCGGATGATACCATCCTTGAAGGTTCCTCAGAATATTCACTTGGCTGAAGAACTATTGAAGATGGTCCTCATTGCTACCTACCCATGGGGGGGAAGGTTGTACAAGTTTAAAGGGGAAGACCAGATGGTCCCAAAGTCAAAATATTACATAAACAAAAAAGCTGAGGGGAGACCCGGCCGTTAGTCTTTTTTTATTGTAGATGGTTCGAAAGTCAAAATTGGAAAAGAAGCTGAGGGAGACTGGAAAAATGTGTCTCTTTTTTGTTTTGTACTTCTTTTTTCCATTCAACAAGAGTCGCCCCACGTCCATATAATAGATTGGCGGGCGGCACAACAACCCGATGTCCCTTTTTAAAAAACTATTTTTTAAATCTGATCAATTGACTTAGATTTTATCTGGATCATTGAGGGACTATAGACTTGCATATGATAATCTCCTTTCCAATACCCTTGAAAAGCTCAAAGAAGTTTCTTCTCCGTCATCCTCTTTAGACCAGTCCCTTTGAAAAAAGCTCAAATAATTTTTTCTCCAATTTCCTCCCTATAAAGCTCAAAGTAATTCCTTCCACTTGAACTCATTGCTTATATTTATAAGTTTACTTGCAACTATTGGCAGAGAGAGTGAGAATGCATCCTGAAGTGTATGAGGCTGCAAAGTCAGGAGATTTTGATCACTTGAAGAAAATAATTTCAGGAAATGAAGAGGACCTTTTGCACCAAACAACGCCAGAGGAGGACCTTTTGCACCAAACAACGCCAGAGGAGAACAACATTCTTCACGTTGCGGCCCAATACAAGCAGGTAAAGTTGATTAAAGATCTTCTTCAATGTCCATTAGGACCGTTCCTTCTTTGGCAGGGTAACAAAAAAGGAGACACTCCCCTACACATAGCTGCTAAAGTAGGCATTTGTGAAGCAATTCGAGTTTTCACTAATCTGACGAAATCACTTGATTGGGTTGTTGAGAACGGACAAGTTGACGCATGCAAAGAGCTACTTCGAAAGCCAAATTCATATAAGGATACAGCTCTACACTATGCAGTAAGAGGAGGCCATCATTCGGTGGTGCAGTTGCTGATTGAAGAAGATCCTCAACTGTGCAATATAACTAATGCTGCTGACGAGTCCCCGCTTTATCTTGCAGTAGATCGAGGACTTTCTCGTATCACTGAGCTGATTTTAGGTGCTTTCTCGTTGTCATCCTCTCATAAGGGCCCTAAGGGATTGACAGCTCTGCATGTCATACTCGATCGCTCAAGAACCAGTAAGCATCACAAGATTCTAAGCCTTACTTTTATTTTGGTGAAAGGTCATACTTTTCCCCAAGGACATGCCTCTTGACCAGTTAAATGCGAGGGTTATATTTCGAAAAGATTCTTGCTTTTATTCTCGTTACATTCTCTTTATTGTTTTATTCTTTGACTATTAAATAAGTTCAAATCGGTCCGTCTTCTCATAGTACGCGGACTAAGAAAAGAATATTAGAGTTTCTACAGAGTATCATAGGAACAGGATTTTCAGATGAGCTGACTGCATTTTGGATTTAGTATCCATTTGGCAAAATCGCTGTTTTTATAAAGTATTTTTTGCACATACTAATTTCTTTATATTCGTTTGTCTAGATCCTGTTCTCTTCCTTTTTTCTGATTTTTACCACTTTTCTTCGAATTCCACCGGCATCATCATCATCATCAACCCTGCTTACAATGGAAGCGGCAGCGACCACCATCACCTTCACACAGCGACCACTTCCCTTTTCTCTCTCATCCAGTGCAATGTGTGTTCTTCTTTGTTTCGACATTTTCTCCGTATGATTTATTTGCTTTTGAGTTATCAATTTGACAGGGCACATTGCAGTGTATTTCCAAAACATCAGGGTATTCATGCAAAATCTTTTAACCCTCGAGGGTAAATTATGACGACTTGAAAAACCGGGGGTGCAATGATTTTACCATTGAAAATGTAGAAGGTGTTAAGTCTCATTCAATATTGAAATCTTATTCTAGCCTTGACAGAGCAGCTAACTTGCTGGAAATAGGAGAAGCTTCTTCTCAATCAACTTTACGAATTTCTGACAGTTTCACTTATCACTAAGAAAAACTCTACAAATTTCTGCATTATGCCAGATTGAAGGTAGTTAGATTCTACATGTGTTGCACAAGATCACTAGAGAAACTTCGGAATAACCTTGACATATTCGTTCCTAGTACAGAGAAAAACCGGAACACTTAAAAGGGATGAAATGCAATTTTAATATCTACGTCAAGATGTTAAAAGTAGTCCAAATCATGACATGTTCCTATTTAATTTGCAAAGGTTGGTTGAAAATCTTGGAGAAGAGACCAGAAGTGATCAGAGAAGGAGATGATTTGGGGTGGACTCCTCTTCATTATGCGGCTTGCTATGGCAAAGTCGAAGTAGTTCGACTGCTCTTGCAACATGATACTTCTGTGGTGTACGTCTTAGACAAAGAGGGGGAATCCGCCCTTCATATTGCAGCGTTTATGGGCCACGTCGATGTCATTGACGAGCTTGTTAGATCCCGTCCTGATGCTTGTGACATAACAAACGTCAAAGGGCATACGGCTCTTCATGCAGCTATTATCGAAGGACAAGTAAATGTAGTCAAGTACATACTAGGGAAGCCAAACCTGGAGGATCTTGTCAACAAGCAAGACACCGATGGAAATACGCCTCTGCATATGGCTACGCTTCATAAAAAATACAACGTCATATACATACTCGCACAAGACAAGAGGGTGCACCGTTTGGCCACAAATAAGGATCATTTGACTGCCCTTGACATTTTTTGTGCTCATAAGGAGGTATGCTTGCTTGAACAATATAGAGCTCAATTTGTTCACTCGTAGAGTAATTTCTCCAGTATTACTTAGAAATTGTGGCCCAGGCGATACTCGTTTCAGGTGCAAACAAACAATCCAATTGATGCCTTGTTGTGTCAACTTTGTTTTGTTGGGATAAGTGCATTGAAAGTCCTAAAACTTGTCGTGAAAGTACAATGGAGTCCTAAAACTTTTAAAAAGTGAAATCAATAGAAGAACTTGATTGGACCAATTCGACAAAGTTTAGGATTTAATTGCACTTTTTGAAAGTTTTAAGACTCCATTGCACTTTCATGACAAGTTTTAGGACTTAATTGCACTTTTCGAAAGTTTTAGGACTCAATTGCACTTTTGTGACAGGTTTTAGGACATCCGATGCACTTATTGCTTGTTTTGCTTGTTCGATTGGCTACAATTTCAATTTTCGCAGTAAATAATAGTATAGATTGCTTTATTGAGCGTGACACACATTTGAAAAAGGGTCTCGGAGTGAAATGATTACATACTTCATATTTATCATTAAATAATAATAAAAAGTTGGGTGGAATTGAACTTTGTATAAATAATAAGGAAATTAGGTAGAATTGAATTTTGTGGTTGAGCCAAATTATCACAAAGCTTCATTCCATTCCACTTCACTTAACATTAATTAGCTCACTATTACATCAACTAGACAAAAATTAAAATACTTCTTTTCTCCCACAATCTTTCATTAATGTTCCCACAACAAAATATCAACATCATTTCTCATAGCTTACTAATTTGAATATAAATTGATATAATAGTCAATAGATCTAAATTCACGATTTGAAGTCTTCATGGTTCTTTCATATATATGAGTTGGTATATAATGCTTTTATTTATCATTGGCTAAACATGTAAAATATTTTTTTTTTCTTTTGAAAATACCATGTGTGAGCCAAAATGATTTAGTGGCAAAGTAAAATGTAAAATCTTTTAGACTATCGGAAAAAACTGATTTGGCCGTATTATGAGTATTGGAAAAGTAGCAAAGAAATTTGTAGCTAAAAAGTTGTATTCGATTTTTTTTTAATCTATAACATATTTATGAATTTGTATTGTCATAAAGAAATTTCATTTTACAATATTATTATCTTGCCAGTAGTTATTATTGCAAAAATGTTAAAACATAAGTCTTATAGATCCAATTAATACTTATATTCTTAAGCCATCTTGCTAATCCCCCCATATAAGAGCCCCAATTAAAATATGATTACATAAGAAAAACCAAATATCGTATTAATAGCCAACAGTTAAATGCATATAGTAAAATTATACAGTAGATAAAAACAAAATAAGAAGGTTTAGTTGAAGACAAATCACTTAGTAAAGTAACATTCGGTATTAGTTAACTATGTTGTTTGGTTGATGAATATATAGCATTTTTGTATTATCCTGTTGGATGATCATGTTATATCATCAAAACAAAATTTTTCAATAAGTATAAATTTAAAATCCATGCAACACGCAGGTCTTCAAACTAGTTCAAAAATAATTGTCTGTCTATGCAAAATATTTTTGATTGAAATCCTCTAAAGTTAGTGGGTAAGGCAAAGGGGAAGAAGAAAGGAAAGCAAAGCAAAAAGAAAAGAAAAATGGAGAATAAATCTGGAACTTCTAATGGCCCTTTGTATTGAGGTTTCAACCACTCAAAGGATAACTTCAAGGTGTAAAATTGGCAGCAACTGAAGAGCATCCCATCTAAAAGTCTATATGCGCCTCCCAACTTTGAAACAACTATCCTGCCACATTCATACAGAAGAAGCAGAATAGTTTGTACAATATTTAGCTAAAATTCTTCCGTTTCTTGAAACAGTTTTTGAGTAAAAGAGAGAACCTGCAATCTGCCCCTCCAGAACTGCGATTGTTTACACCAGGAAACTCTATTTGTTGGTTTAGGATTCGCCGGGAGTTCTATTTGTTGTAGATGGATTTTGAGTGTGTGAAGCGAGGGTCAGTATTTCGCAGGGAAAGACCACTTGTTAATTGATATATTCTGTACATTTGTAGATGGGCTACAGAGCTGCAAAAGTTCATCATCTCTTGGAAGGATCAAATGGAATCCCGTTTTGTCAAGACTGGGTTATTGAACGTGTTAAGAAGAGGTTAGACAATCGATTTGCCGAGGGTCAACCGGCCGTGTCCATGACCACAGGAAGTGATACCGTCAACCAAGAAAATTTTAATTCGTCAAAGAAAGGCTTTATCGACCTTCAACTATTAGTGGCAGGGCTGATAGCCACAGTGACCTTCTCCGCGGCCTTCACGATGCCGGGAGGTTGTAACAGCGACGGACCCAACCCTGGAATGGCGACTCTTGCTGGCAGGGCAGGTTTCAAAGCCTTTGTGATATCTAACACTACTGCATTCAGTTTCTCCATCCTGGCATTATTCTTACAGTATGATACTTCTTCATTGAGCTATTGCCAACAGGCAAGATACGCCCGCACCGCAGGACGTTGCATTTACGCTGCGATACTCGGGATGGTGCTAGCCTTTGGTTGTGGTACGTATGTGGTGTTGACCAGAACCATCGGGCTTGGAATCATCCCTTATGTCTTGTTTGGTTGTCTCATGATTATTTACGCTATTGGTGCTTTCCTTGACCCTCACACTCGTTTCAATCGGCTACGTCGCCCTCCCGGAAGATACCTACGAAACTTGTTGTTTGATTATGGAATACTCTAGGAAAGCTGCTAGTAAGTTGGGCCGGTTCTACAGTCCCATGTCTTTGTCCACATGAAATTGTCTTTTTGCTTCGTCAGTTCGAGCACTTTTATGTTAGCCGTCTGCTTTGAACCCTGTCAACGTCTCGCGCCGGCAAAATTGTCGCGATGGGATGATTTGCTAGATGATGAACTTGTCTAAACGACAGCCGATGCCGTCTTTGCCATGGACAAGGAACTAGATAATAGGATGAGTTTCAATCGCCCAAAGAAGGAGCATATCTAATTGTTTGCACGCTCCTCTGCATAGAAGTATTTACTGCTTTTTAGGATTTGTTTCATAAGATTTGATTGCTTTCTAGGATTTACCTTTATCAACAATATAGTTCATTCCTTTCCATTCAATAAAATTGCAGTTCATGAAAGTTTTGAGGACATATTGAAGTATACCAAATTGGCCGTGTGATGAAATCTCTCTGACTGCTAGGCTTATGCATAATCTCTCCAAAATTTGTGAAAGTCAAATTTCAGCACATCTTAAAATATATATATGTAAAATTTTAAAAAAAATGAGGGGCACGACAAATTTCGATAATCTAGTGAAGGAATGAAGCTCTGAATTCTAGATGTTCAAAAAGGCCATTTTCTGTGCAAACCAAGTCGCAATTTCATTTGATTGAATCATGCTAACGCTGGTCCTGTCATTCCTAATTTTGTCTTCACAAGATTGCCTTGGAATATTTTCGCCTTCAGGATTCTATTTGATAAGGGAGGATTGAGAACACGCCATCAGGTCCTATTTTTTCTAACTACGTACGATTCATTCGAATGCTAACATAAGCTGTTGTGTTTAATGCAGATGACAAAAACCCAATAGCATGGCGGAGACTAATCACTTTCAATTTTTAATTTTTTTATGACATGAATGACAAGAGTAAGAGCCAAAATTTAAGTGTTAATATAAATTCGCGAGTGGAGGAATAGAAACTTAAAAGGAAGATGCGATTTTGGCTTTTTTAAAACTATTCTATAAACCTGACAAATTGACTTGAATATTATCCAAACAAATTAATGGATCATCCACATGTACATAATAGTTTGCTTTCCAGTGCTCTTAGGAAGTACTCGAAAGCTCAAAGAAATATCCTCCCCTCCTCTCGGAACCCTCAAATAAATGTTGCGGGGGCTTTTTGAGGGGCACGTGGCGCGCGGCACATATGTGATGGTGCAAAAGTGGGGATAAGAAGGGGTACAGCATGGAGAACAGTATCTTGATCATCATTTGATCTTTTTTTAGCTTTTATTATCTTATCATGTTACTCTTCCGCGTAGTTTCCATGTCCCCACTTTTGCATGCAGTATTTTATGAGAAATATGATAAAGATAGTCAGTCATTCAATAATTGTAAATCTTTTAAATTTGTATAAATTACTGTAATTTTTTTATGAACATTACAAGAAAACACATACGATTTACGATCATTTCTAGAAAATCATAGAAGCAGAGACGATCATTGCGCGGCTCAAATTGATGGTCTGACCTAAAGTTTTACCTAAGTCTGTCCATCATAAAAGTTTACATATAAAAATCTTCGCGTGAGACCGGGCTTGGCTTGGGTCCACACGTGTAACATGACAAGAATTCATGACTCACGAGGAAATAGACCCATGAAGAGTGAAAGGAGTAAGCCAAGGACTTGTCAGTCAAAAAAAAAAAAAAAACAGGAAACGACAGCTTAGAATGATTGAGGCTTATAGCACGATCACTCCTTCCAATTGGATCCCCTATCGTCATTGCTTTCAATAATTGAGTTCAGTGGGATCCGGTTGTCCAAGACAAATGAATGAAATCTTCCGTGTGGAATTGTTATTGACTTGGACGAAAAGTGGAAGACCACATGGTGTTCAGAAATATAAAATAAAAGAAGCTGCAGGTGAGTCCAGAATATCAATGTAGTCAAAGAATTCCTCCCAATTTGAACGCGTTGCTGGTATCGATAAGTTCACTCATAACTACTCCGTGTCCTGGGAGCGGTGGAGGACGAGTGAGAATGCATCCTAAAGTGTACGAGGCTGCAAAGTCAGGAGACTTTGAGAACCTGATGACAATAATTTCAGGAAATGGAGAGGATCTTTTCCACCAAACAACGCCAAAGCACAACAACATTCTCCACGTTGCGGCTCAGTATGAGCAGGTAAATTTCATCGAAGATCTCCTTCATTGTCCATCAGGGCCCCCACTTCTTTGGGAGGGTAACTACAAAGGAGACACTCCCCTGCACGTTGCTGCTAAAGTGGGAAGCTGTGGAGCGGTTCGCGTGTTCACTAATCTGGCGAAGTCAATGCAATGGGTTGTTCAAAAAGGACAAGTCGACTTGTGCAAAGAGCTACTTCGAAAGCCGAATTTGCATAAGGATACTGTGCTGCACTATGCAGTAAGAGGAGGCCATGATGGGGTGGTGAAGTTGCTGATTGAAGAAGATCCTCAATTGTGTGATATTACTAATGCTGCTGATGAGTCCCCGCTTTATCTTGCAGCAAATCGGGGACTTTCTCATACTATTGAGCTAATTTTAGGTGCTTTCTCGTTGTCATCCTCTCATAAGGGCCCTAAGGGATTAACAGCTCTTCATGCGACAATTTTTCGTCCCCCAACCAGTAAGTATCACAAGTTTCTAAATCTAGTGAAACAAATTTGAACAAAAGTTCTATCCCTCCCTCCCTCCCTCCAAGGCTTCTCTTAGGTGAGAGTGCTCGTGTTAGCAGTGATGGCTGTCCTCTATCCTAGTAATTTTTCCTTTAAATATATATTTATTTATTCATTACTTTTATTTTGGTGAAAGGTCTTTCTTTTTTTCAAGGACATGCCTCTTGACCACTTAAGACACGAGGGTAATATTTTGAAAAGATTTGAGTAGTATTCTCGCTGTTCTCTTTGTCCTTTTGTTCATTGACTGTTAAATAAGTTCAAACCGGTTCGTCTTCTCTTAGCATGCTGACCAAGAAAAGAAGATTAGAGTTTGTACATAGTATCATAGCAACGAGATTTTGAAAAAAGCCAGCTATGTTTTTTATTATATATCCATGCGGGAAAATCAGTGTGTTAAGGTGGTATTTTTCTTAATGTCTTTCTAAATCATGGCATATTCCTATTTTATTTGAAAAGGTTGGTGGAAAATCCTGGAGAAGAGACCGGAAGTGATCAGAGAAGGAGATGATTTGGGGTGGACTCCTCTTCATTATGTCGCTTGCTTTGGCGAAGTCGAAGCAGTTCGATTGCTCCTGCAACACGATACTTCCGTGGCATACGACTTAGACAAAGGGGGGGAATCTGCTCTCCATATTGCAGCGTTTCGAGGCCACGTCAATGTCATTGACGAGCTTATTAGATCCTGTCCTGATGCTTGTGACATAATAAGCACCAAGGGGCAAACGGCTCTTCATGCTGCCGTTGTGGGTGGACGAGTAAACGTAGTCAAGTACATATTAGGGATGCCAAACCTGAAGGATCTTATCAACGAACAAGACATCAATGGAAACACGGCTCTACATTTGGCTGCGTTCCATAAAAAATACAACATCATACACATGCTTGCACGGGACAAGAGGGTAGACAGTTTGGCCACAAATAAGGATCATATGACCGCCCTTGACATTTTTGCTGCTCACGATGAGGTATGCTTGCTTGAACACTATAGAGCTCCATTTGTTCGCAAAGTAACTGCTTTAGCATCGTTTAGAAACTGTGGCCCAGGTAATGATCATTTCAGGTGCGAACAAACAATCCAATTTGAAGTCTTTTTGCGTCAGCTTTGTTTTGCTTATTCGATTGTTTAAGCAAATTGACTATATTTTCAATTTTTGTAGCAAATAGTAGCATTAATTGCTTTATTGAGAGTGACAACATTTAAAAGGGGCTCGGGGTGAAGTGATTTCTTACCATATATCTATATATAATAAGAAAGCTGGGCAGTATTTTCTTTTATAAGCAAAGAGTGGAGTGGCCGTTGAAAGATGGAGGCAAAGGGTTTTGATCTTACTTGTTTTGAATTCTGTAGAAAGCCGTATTCAATGAAGATCGTATGTACGGTTTGGAGGGAGCTCTTTCTTTTTGTGGTTGAGCCACGTTTAAACAAAGCCTCATTCCCTCCCACTTCACTTAACATTAATCAGCACACTTTCTACTATATTAATTAAACCAAAAAAGGCTTTTTGGTCCTACTTAATCTATCATTAATGTTCTGATAACAAAATATCAACATCAATACACATGGAGCATAAATTTAAATGTAATTTGAAATAATATTGAGGAAATCTAAATTCATTATTTGAAGTTTTACGGTTCTTTCATATATATGAGTTGGTATATAGTGTTTTTATTTATTATTAACTAAATGTATAGGGTCATATCTTCTTCTTCCTTTGAAAATACCAATTTATCTATAAATTGGATATGTGAACTAAAATGATTTAGTGACCAAGTAAAATGTAAAAATTTGTTAGACTATTGAAAGAATTGGTTAAGCCATATCTATGACTATTGCCAAAGTAGCAAAATTTGTACCTGAAAAATTGTTCAAATTTTTACTTTTAATCTATGACATAGTTATGAATTTGCTTTGTGATATAGATATTTCATTTTACAAAATGATCATCTTTCCAATCGTTATGATTGCACAAATGTTAAAAATAGAAATCTTTATAGATCCCTTTAATACATATAAAAGCTCCACTTAAAATCTGATTACACAATATCATCTTAATAGCCAACAGTTAACTGCATATAGTAAAATTAGTTTAAAAGAATTTTAAGTTTGAACTTTTTTGTTTAATTAACAGTTATACAATAACAAACTATTGAAATAACAAGATATAGTCTCGAACAAATCGCTTAGTAGAGTAATATTCAATATTAGTTAATTTTATGGTTTGGTTGATAAATGCATATAATTTGCGTAAGATATAACGTGCAAAGTTTTTAAATATTGTGTTGTATGATCATGTTATCTCATCAAAACAAAATTTTTCCACAATTATAAATCTCAAATCTGTGCAACATGGGTGTCTTCAAATAGTTCAAGAGTAATTCTGTGTCTTATTTTTCTTGAAAACAATGCAAAACATTTAGGATAGGGATAAGGATAGGTAAAAGGGAAAAACGAAAGAAAAGAAAAAGGGATAGGTGTTAACTATTCAAAGGCTAACTTTAAGATGTAATTAATGGTAACTTTAAAGGGTACCAATCCAAAATTTTATATGCACCTTCTGACTTTAAAGCAACAATTCTTCCAAAGTCATATGAAAGAGTCAAAATATCTTGTACAATATAGCTAAATTCCTTCTTTTTTTCTTTTTTGGCCCCTTTCCAATGGTTTTTGAGGTAAAAGAGAGAACCCGCGCCCTGCCCCAACTGAGAAAATGACTTCAAACGATACCTGAAACTGTAATTGCTTACTCCAGAAAACTCTATTTATTGGTTTTGTCTACCTGCTACCTTATCTAAAAGAGATGAATTGAATGAATTCTCCATAATGTTTTTGGACTTGCCGGGGGTTCTATTTGTTAGCATTTTTGAGTGTGTAAAGTGAGGGTATGGAAGTATTTCGCTGGGAAAGACCACTAGTCAATTGATATTTTCTGTACAATTTTAGGTCGGCTACAGAGCTGGAAAAGTTCTTCAGGTGTTGAAAGGATCTCATGGAATCCAGTGTTTTCAAGACTGGGTTACTGAATATGTTAAGAAGAGGTTAGACAAGCAATTTGTTGAGGGTCAACCAGCTGTGACTATAACCACAGGAATGAATATCGCCAGCCGAGAAAATTTCGATTCATCAAAAAGAAGCCTTATCGACCTTCAACTACTAGTGGCCGTGCTCATAGCCACAGTGACCTTTGCCGCAGCCTTCACAATGCCCGGGGGTTATTCCAACGACGGACCGGACCAAGGAATGCCAGTTCTTGCTAGCAGGCCAGCTTTCAAAGCCTTTGTGATATTTAACACTACTGCGTTCTGTTTCTCCATCCTGGCATTATTTTTACTATATGATCCTTCTTTCTGGGGCGCTCGCCAACAGGCGAGATACACCGCCGCTGCAGGATGTTATATTTACGTAGCGATATGCGGGTTGGTGCTAGCCTTTGCTTGTGGTACGTATGTTGTATTGACCAGAACCACCGGGCTCGGAATCGTTCTTTTTGTAGTGTTTGGATGTCTCCTGACTTTGCACCGCGTCGGTGTTTTCCTTGACCCCGAGGTTGGATTCTGGTTGCCACGGAGCTCTCCCAGAAGATACGTCCGAAACTTACTATTTGATTATGGGATAATCTAGGAAAGCTGCTAACAAGTTGAGACTATTCGAGTATGTGAAGGATGTACAACTCGATTGCATCACAGTTAACCAAATGAAAGTCGAGAGGGTTAGCAGTTGCTGAGCAATTGCGTTTGAACTGCCAAGTTGGTATTTGTTTGGTGATAATCGTTAGGTTGCAAGGAAAGTGTTGGATTTTTAGGTACTCTTATATAAACAAAGCTCTTCGTAGCATGGATGAGTTTAGTTTGTTTTAACCGTTGATTGCCATTACTTCAATTTCCGTGAATTCCTTGAACATTCTTCAACATCAAATTGATTTGTAAGTTACCTACTTGTTTTAAATTTTACCGACACCATACTAAATCTACCAATGTTAAATTGATTAGTAAGTTAACAACTTCTAAATTTTACATGTGAATGGAGGAAGAGGTGAATAAGTTACCAACATGGTAACGAATAAATATACCAATGACAAAATTAGTAAGTTACCAACTCCTTTTTAATTTTCTAAGTGGGCACGATTAAAAGTAAGTTTTACAAGTAGGTGTGGATAGAGGTTAATACACCGCGGAAAGCTTGCCCAAGAATGTGATGCTTACTAGCATGTAGATGAAGTTGCCGTTCAATTGGGACTTGCCTTCGGCTTTCTGTGCGTCGCTCTTTAATGGAATAGGCGCGCATAACTGCAGGAAGTACCATAACATTTTTAGCATCTATTGAGAGCAAGAGTCATGGCTGATGCAAGATCCTTCCCTTCCGATAATTCAAAAAGTTTCATAAGCCTTCATAGAAATGAGAATGTCATCTTTCAGTGTTATCTAACAACTTTCAAGTCAATCCAGTAAGTAACACTATTAAATAATTAGGTACACAAAGGCCAAGAATGTATCACCATATCAACCTATAAAAATTCAAGCGCCCACTCACGCCAAATACAATCATTTCACTGCGTCTTTCGTTTTCACGCGTGGAATATATGCATCACTCGCAAATGGAAGAAGAGGAGCAGTGATCGATCCTCGAACAACCTAACCAGTCTTTAATACAAAACCTGAACCCAGGTCCAACTACGAGAAGCAGTTCCTATTGCCACGTTCTTCGCTGAAGCTGCATCATCCACCAAGTAAGGTACTACATGTTTTTACATGTTGGCGAGAGAGATGTGAAGATGGTTCCCAAAGACGTTGATGAATTTAACTTTCCCAACTTTGTCCAAGGTCTTCAATCCAATCAAGTCCTCGATATAAAGCTCGGACTGCGGGAAATGCATCAGTTAGATACATTCCTCTGTTTTTTCCATTGGATTAATGGTAAAGAGGTTGCAAATTCTAGCATCGAGTAAGGGCAAAAGCATGTTAGGAGGAAATTAGTACACGATTGACGCAATTTGTTGAGTCCTCTAATTCAACGGCATTGTATAAATAGCCTAGGTAAGTTTTTGTTCAATAGAGGATCTGGAGGACATAGTTATTGCGATGACAAATATACATTGAAACTTGTGCATCCATGTGTTCCTTTCTTATTTAATGTGACTTCCACCATTTCTTAACTCATGATTGTCTTGATTTCTCGGAATGACTTCAAATAATACGAGCTCATGGATTAAGCTACCGTTTATCTCTACATATGAATTTTTATATCTGGATGACACTATTCTTGAACGTTCCTGTTCACACCCAAAAAGGACGAATCTTTCGTTATAATCGACCACTGACAGACTTTTAAGTTGATAGTAGAAAAGTTTGGTAAATAGCAAAAGTTATCGATGAAAAAAATAGTTGATAACTTCAAGAATATCGACGACCAAAGAAATTATCGACAACAAACATTAATTATCTAGAGTTGAAGTCATCGACATCGATGTGTAACTACCAAATAGCGATATTTTTGAATATGTAAGCTCTGAAGTTATCGACATCAACGTGTAACTGTCAAATAGCGATAGTTTTGTAAGCTATTTTGACAACTTGAAGAGCATTACAACTTGTCAAGGAAGTTATCTATAGCAAACATCAGTCATCTGAGGTGAAGTTATCGATATCGATGTGTAATTGCCAAATAGCAATAGTTTCGGATATTGAAGTTCTATTAGACAAGTGTTGCTTGATAATAGGAAACGCAAAGTTAACTTCTTGTGGATCTTGTAACCATTGGAAAGTTGTTTATTTAATTGAAATTGTGTAACCTCTATTTGTAACCATCAATTGTAGGATTTAAATAGCCACATCGTACTCTTTGTAAGGAGCCCCAATCAATGAAAAAAAATTGTTACCTTTCAATTATCGTACTTTAGTCGTAGTTTCATATATCTCATCGTTAATTAAATTCCGGCGTATATCTTAACTGTAGTTTTTAAATCTTCATTATCAATTAAATTCCGGCGTTGTATCTTTATGCTATCGCACTTTATCGTCGATCAAATTCCGGCAAAGCTTTTATGTCGTCAGGCTTCATCATTGATTAAATTTCGTGGAAGAACATATGTTCTTTGTTGTTGACACCTAAATTTTGACTATCCATTTAAGGTTTAATTGCGTAGAAAATTAGGGATTAATTTTTAACCCCTAAACAAAAATTATTCTCATTAAATCGCATAGTATGTAGACACTAGGTGCATTTGCATTAATAGAATTTAGCATAACATAAAATTAAAAAATAAACAAACCAAAAAACAAAAATAAGAAAAAGGAAAAGACAAAAGGGGAGCCCTTCCCATGGACCAACACGGAGAGACAGACGAGAGGGAGAGCAGGAGAGAGAGCGTCAAAATCCATCCCGCACGCCGGAATAGCCATTGTCTTTGTCGGAGATCCACCCGCCAGTCGCCGTTTGCCATCACAGTGGAAACCCGAACCAGGTAACCCCGGAACACCCTGTTCTTCCCCTGCTTTGGTTGAGTCGAAGTGCTGAGACTCCTCCGACAAAACTGTTCGAAACCGAGGCTATTTTGTGGCTAGTGAGGTTCATTCAGAGTGTAACACACCATGTCTAAGTCGAACGCTACATAAAAACCGAACTGGACGCCTCTACTCTAGTCGCATAGCACCCGTTCGATAAAATGCCTTAATGAAATAGTATTGGCTTGAAACGTCGAACCTGTTAGTGTCGTCTTTCTACTGTTTCATCACAAACTGAGATGAATTCGTTGGGAAGCATGGTTTTTTATAGATTTACACATCACGTTTGTGCCAAAAATCACGTTCAAGACCGGTCTTAAGCCTCTGATCGACCCCGCCTATCACCAGTTCGACAAAATGTCTAAATGAAGCTCCTGATCTATTTTTTGCGAAACCGACACCCCAAAGCTCTGTTATATGCTTGATTGGTTCTAATATAGTTACTGACTTCAATCTTTCTTTGTTTTTCATGTGTTTTTATGGCATATTCCGTTGTTCCCCGACGTCGGCCATGTATGAGCATATGAGTCAGAGCCACTATTTGTTTTCCGGTGATGCCTTGGGTTGAAGTCCCACCGTGTCAGTTTTCTATGCCATTGTTTGTGCGTGTGTGCCTGTTTGTTCAGACTTAGCGTCTGTCGTTGGGGCCGAAAGTTTGATCGCCGAGAAACGAAAGTGCGTCGCGGATGTTAGCGATTTAGCGGCCGGTGGGGGCTGATTTAGGGACTTTGGGTCGGTGATGGTGGTGTTGCGATTTCGGTCCGAGCAGATTCGTCGTCGACGCCAGTTGAAGAAGCCGATTTTGGTTCGGTGTTGGGGTCGCCGGCGACTCACCGAGAAGAAGACGTTCTCAGTAAGGGCTCTCGGAGAGTACGTGGGGAAGAAGACCAAAATAAGAATTAGTAAAACAAAAGAGGATGAAGACAAAGATGGGTCAAACCTGGTTGACTAGGCCCGTAGGCCTGGTTGTAGATTCCACCGGAGGAGGCTGGTTGATTTGGGCTGGAATGAAGTGGGCCTAATTATCGGGCCAAAATTTTTGCAATTCAATACAATTTTAGATGGGGAAAATTGACTGGGCCTTAAGCCCGGTTCATTTTCGGACCCAACCCGGACCTTTGTGGTCCGGGTCAGATTGCAAATCGGAACCCGGTCCGAAGTCCTATTTTTCAGATTAAAATTTTTTATTAAAAAATTCAGAAAAATTAGGAAAGGTTTAGAAATTAGTTTTTGGGGTTAATTTCATTAGATCTTAGTGTTAATTTTATTCTAGACTTAGTATAAAAAATAAAAATAAAAATGTGAAAACCTTCGAAAGTTGTGTCCAAAAACTGAACAAGCTATTAGGGCTTTACCATAGGACTTTTGATCGCCTTTTTTCTTTTCCAGAGACGATACTAGGTCTCTGATTGTTTATTTCTATTATGATTATTTGATTGCGCATTTTAATAAATTGATTGTTATTTTCCATTTTTAGCATGGTTAGGATGAACTCTAGGATTTTTGATAGGCTGTCATGGCACGTTAGATAGCAAGTGGTCAAGTTTAGATACCGAAATGGCACTAGTTAGGTGACTAGTGTAATCAAGTCCCCGAATCTATGGTTGCGTACATATCAAAAGACACTTCCACGTTTTGATTAGAGTTTCTAGCCAACCCTTGATAATGGTTGTTAGCGATTCCTATTGAATTCATAGATTAGAAAAACCACGTGGCACAAGATATGAGGCTGGGGAGCGCCTCCGTCCTTGGATAGATGAGCCTTTTGGTTTGTCTTTCGAACAAACCAACTGATCTTCACGTCCATTGACAAATACCTTTGGACCTATACTTATACATACATTCTCCCCTCGATCGGGACGGGTAGGTCGCAACGCTTGTGTTCCATTGATACAATCCCTGTTCGGAATCGCCACAGAACTCGTATCTTCTTAATAAAATTGAAAAATGAATTCCGGTGAAAGATATTTCGTCGACGATACAAATTTGACGAAACAGTTCCTTAGTATATTTACTTGGCTGAAGAAATTTCGAAGATGGCTATACTCGCTACCTCCCCCTGCGCCCTTGGGGAAGGCGTGTAGATTTAACGTTACCATGTTCCAGGAAGCATCATGTACGCGCAGTGGTTTTGATTTTGAAGTGAAGCGGAAGACCAGATGGTTCCAAATAAAAAAAGAAGTTGCGGATACTTCTCATTCTTTCCTTTCAACAAGAGTCGCCCCACTCTATTATCATAGATTTGCCGGTGGGAAAACGGGAAATTCAAAGGAACATACCAATTTGACTTTTCAGAGATTATTATCTAAACATGATAAATTCACTTAGATTTTATTTTAACCATCGATGGACTATCC